ACAAAGAGTGAAAAATTTAAGGGGGTCTGAATACTTTCCGTACCCACTGTATATATAGTATTTCAGTCTGGCGAGTAAACGAAAAAATATACTAGCCAATGGCGATTCAATCGCCAAAGATGTCCGTAGAGGGTTGAATTAGAACATAACAACAAAGAAAACTTCAAAATTATTAAATTAATGTATTGACCATTGACCACACATACTAGTTAGTTTAGTTAAAAAAAAACGAAAAGAAAAGAAAAAAAAACTAAATGTATATCAATCCTTATTTGTTCTCCATTAGAAAATATTTGGAGACAAGCAATGAAACCATAATTAAATGTGAATAAATTATTTGCTCCACTGAATTAGTAGCAACTTCAAACTTTCTCATACTCATCATACAGTGCTCATATTCCACTGAATCATGTGCGTATTGAAATATCAGTAATAAGTTTACATCTGTAAAGCCAGGTGTGTGAGTGTGCGATGCAACATCACTGAAGCAGCTCCGAAAAAATGCCAAAAATGAGAATGATGTAAAAACTGCAGCGCGAGCGCAATGACTGCAAGAAACAAAGGAGCGCAACAAGAGTTGTGTGCACTTACCTTAAACGCAAACCTCTGCTCTACAGTGGGCAAAAAGGGATTTCAGGCTTTATCTCGTGAGCGCATTTACAAATGCAAACCACGGTGATGTTTTTGAAGAAATATTTCTCCCGATTTGACAGTAAAACTGGAATGTGAAGTATGACTTCGGTATGAAATCACGGCGAAACCGAGCGGAGCGCTGGAGGAGGAGTCATGAAGGAGGAGGCCGTCAAATCTCCACCCCACTCCAACTTCTCGAGCAAATCTCACGCGTGGGGATCAGATGCGCTCATTGGCTGAGCGTGTTTTAAAATCTAGACTGCATTTTTGGCCATGACTGGTACTTTCCTAACTGACTCAGCTAACCGAAAAAAAAAAAAGTAATAATAATAAATAAATGCACTTTTTTTTTGTTATAATTCATGCTGTTGCTACTAATTATTAGGCGCATTCATAGTTTTTGGGCATCGTAAAAGTGCAAGTAGTACAAACTAACACGTTTTATTTGGCTTCATTTATTTTAAACTCCACTCCACTTAATATGAACTGTTAAATATATTTGTTTGTTTCTTTCTTTTTTTTTTAAATAGAGCAGCTTTGAAGTGTTTTCAAAAAGATATAATTTAGAGTGTCAGACTCGTGTATTTGGGCACAGTTGAAGAATGCACATGTAGAAAAGTGTACATTTTCTCTGTATATTACAGAATTAATACTGGAGAGGACGTGTTGGGGACTGAACACATTCAGACAGGTGAGAACAAGGCCCTTGAAAGTGTGTGAATTCACACAGTAGTCCACAAAGCCTTGTTGAAACAGCACCACCCTAAGGACAACTTCTGTAGTTCATCATAAAGTACATGATTTTAATAAATCAAAAGTGTGTGGACAATTTTAATTGTAGTTTGCAGCTCCACATTTCCCCTCCAGCTTGTCTCAGTGTCTCAAAAAATAAACAAATATAATAATAGTAATAATAACAATAGTAATAATATTAATAATACAATAGAAGAAATAAATACAATGAAACAATAGTACATTCATTATTTATTTTCATTCAGCATTTGATTCATTATTTCAGAGATCTCTGATAATTCTCCAAAAGTGGGCAACATATATGTTTGACAGATATGCGTCACGAAGTGTAATAGAATCTTTCTCGTATTCATGCATTTTTTTATGCATCTGTCATGCATAAAAAATTGGAACATGTATCTTTTATGATAAAAAACAAAACAAAACAAACAAACAGTTTTTAGAGTTTATAAAGAAGCATATCCTTGATTTCCTTAATGCATGGGCAGGAAGTAATTAAATATAAATGAACAAAACAAATCACTTTGTTTCAATAGAAGAATATGTTGAAGGAATGCACATTAGACAGAAAAGGTAAAACAACAACTACAAAAATAAACAAAACAATATGATACTATAATTTCAGTATACATATTCTAGTACATTTTAAAAGATTTTTTAAAAATGACTTTTAAATGCACACATGTACATTTTTATGTTTTGCACTTCATATGTTTGAGAGAAAAACATACATTGCACTGATCATTTACTTTTATTATCAAAAAAAAAAAAATTCATAAATCTCAGTACAACACAAAATATAATCAAACAATTTTTCAATCACTTTCAGTCATGTTATGTAGCCTGCATTCATCATGTACGTGCAACGCCTGGCTCAGGTGTCAGTTTCTGTTCTGTATCCAGGATAAGTGCATCCCAGTCGCATTGAGGCACAGTGGAAATCATAAAAATGTCCCACATTTTCAAATAACACATCTTACTTCATCGTCCTTCCTGATGATGAAGTTATCGTGTGTTGATTGCAAAGAGTTGACTCTTGGTCGAAAAATGTTGTGCCTTGTGTTCATTCGCAGGCCAGTTTGCCATCAAAGCTGGACAGAGCAATAGCAAAGGCTTGCACTGAACACATGGGGTAATTATAGTCCAGAGTGAACATGTCGTCTGCCACCCTTCCAAACTGCATCACAATGTAGCTATCTGAAAAAGAGAGCGTTTACAATCAGGTTAGCTTTTACAGTATGTTCAGGCTACACTCTAAAAAATGCTGGGTTAAATATAACCCAGCGCTGGGTTAAAAAGGGACAAACCCAGCTATTGGGTTGTTTTGACCTAGCGGTTGGGTTGTATTGACCCAGTGGTTGGGTTGTTTTGACCCAGTGGTTGAGTTCAAAACAACCCAACCGCTGGGTCAAAACAACCCAATAGCTGGGTTTGTCCCTTTTTAACCCAGCATTTTTTTAGAGTGTATAGTAACAACTGAGCCCAATTCCAGCATAATATGGAATTATCAAAACAACATATGCTACAAAATTCCAATTTCGTATTTGTAACATATTGTCCTATTGTAAAGCAAAAAATATTTTTGTGCAATCCCAGTTGAAGAGGTAAAGAATTGTCAATATCGCCTTAATCATTAACTTTCACCATTACATTTCTGTCAGAAATTGAATATGACAGTATGAAGTAGCATGGATAATGTTACTGCAGCCAGAAGATAACAATGTTATTAATCTAGTTTGTATAAAACAATAAACAAAATATGAAGGAAGTCCAGCAAGAGCTGTGCTGTTCCTGGATGTGGGGAAGCACATGTGCTTACAGCTGTTGAGCTTTTGTCCAAATGTTACAAACAAACAGTTGCAGTTTTTTCCGTGCGAAGAGGGCGTTTACACTTAATCTTTCACTTACTCTTTTTCTTGTTGTTCCTCTCTTTGTCCTTATTTCTCTTGTCTTTTTTCTTGTCTTTGTCTCCTGCAGCCTGAAACATGGAGGTGGAGTGAGCACAAAATGAACCTTGGCCTCGCTCATTAGCATGCATTCAAGTGTGAATACCCTCAGCTGACCTTTGGCCTTTGGTTTCTTTTCTTTGGTGCCAGCAGGGGAGCTCTCTTTGGTGGTTTTCTTTTTAGTTTTCTTCTGTGAGGTCTCCTCTTCGTCATCCTCGTCATCTTCATCATTGGAATCTGATTAAAAAAACATCAGGGTTGAAGGACAAATCAGATCAATTATTAAGGCAATGAAATAGATCCTAAAACTGGTCAATATCACAGATTCGTGGTCTATGCAAGCCCTATTTCAAGGGGTAAATTACATTTTTTTAATTAAAAACGTGCTCTGCCTCTTGAATTACTTCCCTCTTTCACTTAAAGGGGTCATATGATGCTGCTAAAAAGAACATTATTTTGTGTATTCGGTGTAATGAATTGTTATAAAGTCAGAATTGCGAGATATAAATTCGCAATTCTGAAAAAAGTCAAAATTGTAAGAAAAAAAAGTCAAAATTGCTAGATATAAACTCGCAATTCTGAGAAAAAAAAGTCAGAATTGTGAGATAAAAA